ATCTATGGTAACATAATAAATATATAAAATAACAGGTGTGTCTAGTCTAATATGGCATAGTGATCTACACTGGCACTTTTATTTCTCACCTTTTAAATCATAAAGTATATAGTTAATATTTTCTTTGTTGACTTCATTTAATAGAGTTTATTTTCTCTTGTACTTACACTTTTGAGAAGCCAACATATAAAGAACCAATAAAGGTCTTTAAATTTAATCCGGTTAGGAGTCTCTAAACCCAGAGAAGATGAGGAAAGCTAATATACCATATCATTAATACAGAAAACCACAACAGGCAGAGTTGTATTTGTTTTTTGTCTCAGATCAAAGTCATATTCACTAAGTTTGCAGGTATAATTTTTGAGAAGACAAAATGTATTAAGCTGGGCAACTTTCAACTCTGGAGTTCATTTGGTCCTTATCTTAAATTAACTTCACAGAGTGCTTAACTTACTACACTTAACATACTACAGTACATCGTGGGAAAATAAACAAACAAAAACTAAGGTATAGGCAAAGGAAAAAACTTAGAGCAAAGTGGTATCTTTGGTTGAGCGAAAAGAGGCAGGCAAAGTATATAACAACAATATGAGCAGCCATGCTTCTGAATTGAGGAGAGACGGGTTTAGAGAGCAAGATTTGAGATTTTTAATGGGCCAGCTTTCCAAACTGTAAGGATTCTGAGATGCTACATAAGTTATCAAAAGTGTTAGAATTAATCTGGGGTTAGCAAGAGGCAACCTGAGCAGAAGAGGAAGAAAAGTGTGGGGGCAGGGTACGGGGCGAGAAGAGAGTAGGAGAAAGATCAAGTCATAGCTTTTAGAATTTCTAGGACATGCTCAACTCTTAATTTGTGGCTCAGGGAAAGTCTGATCCTCTTCTCAAGGGTCAAATGAAAGGATTACCTGGAAAATTTTGCATGTACATATGCCAGTAAACGGGATTGTTATTTACAGCTCCTCTCTCAGATAGCCTTATTTTATATTCTCTCAGAGTTTGATTATAGAAGAACTTATTTCTTTTCAGATCCGAAGCCAAATATATGTGTATAACTGATCAAATGTCCAATTCTGAATACAGTTACAAATTAACTAAGTTCAAATTCAATTTTAATTTATTAGTAAATTTGATAATAGTCTAATAACTAGAAAGCTTTCCAGATCCTCGGTTGTAAGTTAAAGAACATCTAAACAGAAGGTTTTCTTAAGCAATAACTAAAATTTGTATAAATAGCCAGTGATAAGCATGATATATTAATAAACATTTTTAAAACAGTAGTATATTTATAATCTTGGCTAGTTCCTCCTGACATTTTAAGATTTTCTTTTCCCTCAGCATACTAGGTACTGCCAGATATATTTGATATTAATATACTGAACTCATAAATCCATAGTCTTGGTAACATTTTTTGGTTGTGATTATATAATTACCAAAAGTATCTTTAGCATTTTATATTAACCATCTGTTTATGCTTCTAGAACTTTCTAAGACAGTGTTTAAATAATTGTTCTGGAATCTCATAAAGTTTGTGAACTTCAATTAAAACCAAGAAAAGCTATTTTGAAAGTTTTCTGCTATTTTAGAGCGCAAATCAAAGCCCTAAACTTTTTTCCAAGATTTCTTATAGCTTTGCCAAGTAAGAGACCACAGTCAACATCTATATGATACAGCAAATCACTATGCTTTGTGGGACCTTGTCCTGCTGCAGCAAGAAAACAGCTGGAGTCCCAGAGAATATAAAAAGGAGGCGTTCTAGCAGGTGTTTAAGAAAAAAAAGTTATCTTAAAAGCAGTGCATAAATCAGACTCCTTGCCTGGCAATACTGGTCCACCTACTCCTCAGGTGGCACATTACCTTTTTTATTTTTTCTTCCAAATTTTTTATTGTAGTTAGATACACATAAAATAAAATGTACCATCTTGACCATTTTTAAGTGTGCATTCAGTGGTATTAAATACATTAATAAAGTTGTGTTACCATCACCACCATCTATGTCCAGAACTCTTTTCATCTTGTTAAAATGAAACTATATACCTGTTAAATAGTAACTCCCCGTTCTTCCTTAGTATCCTAAAGTTATAGCAGCCTAATTTGAATAGCCTCCCAAAGCTCTGTTCCTTTATAGCTCCATCTCCACCCTTTCACTTGTTCATTTATAAAATTACATCTTTGTACACTGTGTGCTCAAAAATATAAACAGGTAATTCCTTTAAATGGATTGGTGCCTTAAATTCTGTAGAAAACTAAATGTGAAGTTACAAACCAAAGTTATAATAATATTAGTTTTTAAACTAAGAATTATTTTTATTGTATTAAATTCTACATATTAAATCATGTAGAAAGCAAAAAGTAGAGTTAATATTATTAACAGTAATATTAGCTTGTGCAATTTCCCATGTATTTACCTTTAATGAGGTCTTTATTTCTTCATGGGGCTTCAAACTGCTGTCTAGTGTCCTGTCATTTCAACCTGCAAGATTTCCTGTAACATTTCTTTCAGGGCAGGTCTAATGGTAATGAGCTCTCTGAGCTTTGTTTGTCTGGGAATGTCATTTCTTCCTCAGTATTGAAGGATATAGGATTGCCAAATATGGGGTTCGTGATTGAAAGGTTTCCTTTTTTTTCCCAGTATTTTGAATAAATCAGCCTACTACCTTCTGGCCTTCAAAGTTTGTGATGAGTAATCTGCTGATAATCAAATGTGACAAGGTGCATCTTGCTTGCTTCTTTTCAAGATTCTCTCTTTGTCTTTGAATTTGAAAGTTTGATTATAATGTGTCTCAATGAGGATCCTTTGAGTTCATGTACTTCAAGTTCACTAAGTTCATCTACTTCTTGGATGTATATTCAGGACTGTTATTGATTTGGGAAATTTTCAGCCATTATTTCTTTAAATATTCTTTCTGCCCCTTTCTTCAGTCACTTTTCTTTCTGTTCCTCAGACTTGATAATTTTCCTTGTCCTGTATTCAAGTTCACTGACTCTTATCTATTCAGAGGCAGACCCCTATAGTGAACCCCACTAGTGAATTTTAGTGACTTTTTATTTCAGTTATAGTACTTTTCAGCTCCAGAATTTCTTCTTGGCTTCTTTTTAGGTTTCCTAACTTTATCTTTATTGATATGCCTATTTTGTTCATACCTCATTTTCTCTTTTCATTAGCATTTTGAGCATTTTAAAACAATTATTTTCAAGTCTTTGTCTAGTAAATCTGTCATGAGGCCTTTTTCTGGTATAGTTTTAGTTAATTTGTTTTTCCTTTGAATGGGCCATAAACATTCCTGTTTCTTTCTTTGCCTTGTGATTTTTTTAAAATTTAAAACTGGACATTAAATTGAATAATGTGGCAACTCTGAGAATCAGATTCTTTGTCTTCTCTAGGGTTTGCTGCGGTTTTTGTTGTTGTTTTATTGTTTTTGTTTTGATCATTGTAGGCTGTCTCTGTGTTAAGGATCCAACTTGTAAAGTTAAAAACTGAAGATGTTCTTAGGTCTTTTTAATTTCCAAGAGTTCCAAAACAGATACATCACTCTTGTCAACATAATGGTTGTCTAGGTTTGGAGACAGATTCAAGGTACTTCCAACTCTGCTATCTTTCCAGAATCCTCTGGTACATTGCCTTTTGTGATGTTATCTTCACATTTTCTCTTCAGTTTCACAGGTTTCACCAGAGTAAGAATACTAATTTGATGATAGCTGATATGCTGTGGGCCTTGATCTTTCCTAGGATATATCTAGATTTTCCTTTACTTGTCATACAAAAGAAAGAAAGAAAAAATCTGAGCCCTGAATACTGTTTGCAATTTTGCATCAAATAGCATTTTTAAAATGAGATATATAACTGTATATATAACTGTAATATATTTTAATAATCCTTGCCTAGCAGGAATTAAAAAATGTACCTAACAACTAAGTAGAGGTGTCCTATGTATATAGATATTCAAATAATGTGAATTTTATTAGGTATCCTAAGACTAAATGTTCTAAGTTAAAGTTTGTCATTGAAACTGCTAGCCTGTAGTCAGGAATCTATTATCTTGCCTTCCCAAAGGTCCTTTAAGGGATAGTCAAGAAACACTGAAATTGTATAAATGGAAAGTTTCATTTATCCCTCTGAGTATAAAGTTTCCATTTCTTAAATCATAAATATGTTTGATCAATTTAGAAATGTTTAAAAAACAATTCACTGGTAGCCTAATCACACTTATTTCTTAAATATTCAAAAACATTATAGAACAACGTAATTTTGTTCTAAGTCATATTATATAATCCAAGGAAATAAAATTGAGATAAATATATCCTAAATTATACAAAGCTAGCATAAGTAGTATAGTTCCATTATAGAAATACAAAAAAAATTGTAGAAATTACATATGTGGAATAAAGATTTATAATGAAGACTAAGGCAAGAGATCATTTCAGAATTTAAATTTATATTTTTATTATCCAAACACTTGAATTATAGAATATAATATCAGGAACCATATTTCTTATATTGCTATTATATTCATTTTTCCATCTATCCAGAAAATTTGTGAAATTTTGAGAAACTATCAAGTAAAAACTATCTTTACAATGTTTTTAGAAAATTGATACTAATATGTTAAAATACTATACATTTTCACTAATGAGGTTTGATGGAAAATACTATAATTTGCATTATAAAGAGCTAAAAGATTATTTCCCCTAGCTACATATAGAATTGGCTGAGTCACAGTTACCCAACAGTTTTAAATACACTAAACAATCTACACCTCTTAATTTTTAGAGCACTTGAGTTCTCACTTTATCCCATTTGTGGATGAAAATTCTTGATACATTTTTTAGAATATTTTCATTGAACAGATGTATAATATCCCACAATAGCAAGTAGCAAATTTTCCGGTAAATAAACGGTTATACTTCCTTAAAATTTGTAGTATATTAGACAATTTAAAAGACTCTTTGGAAAAGTTTTACAAACTGTGTATATTAATGTTATTATTTGTGCATTTGTGCAGGCTGCCTTAGAGAAAGAATGGTTAGCTTTAGATCCCGCCCACTGCCCTTCACAAACACTCCTCCCAACCCAGCTGCACCGGCCAAAGGTAACATGTCATGGAAATCTCCTAGTGCTCCATTTTTTCTTGTTTCTTAAAGTTATGCTATGCGGCAGTGATTAATAATACAATTTATTGACTTGAAAAACACAATTACTTTTAGAAGCCTCTGACTTCCTCCTCATCCCCAGATGTAATTTTTCACATAGCTTTTCTTTCATTTGCTCCTAATTTTTTCTTTATTTTGGATTTCTTTCAACACTTTATTTCACAGTAGCAAAAAAAAAAAACATGATATGCTTCAGCTGTGTATTTGGCAGTAGACTAAAATCACTAGTTGACGGTACTTTAAAAATACAAAAATATGCGTTCAGAGGGCAACAGCTGAAGATTCTCAGTCAGGGGTCAGTAGACTGCTATTTATATGATAATCTTTGAAGATTTTTGTTTTCTGAGATTTTTTAAGGCCTTTGCAGTTAATCATTTTGTATATGCAAACTATATCAAAAAGCATATTCTTTACCACTACAACAATGGACATTTCTATAGGTATTCTATAAATTTCGTTATAATATAATTTTCAATTTTTATATAAGTTTCCCTTAGAAGGCTACTTGGCAGTATGCATGTAAAGTAATACAATATGAATGCTAAAATTTTTCAGTTTATTTTATACCATGTACATTTTTTTTTCCTGATAAGTTCTCTGGAACCTTAAAATATGATGATATTTCACTTAACTTACCAAGTCATCCAGTTCAAGCATGGCTATGTAATGAGAAAGAAAATGTATTTTCATCGGAACACACACAATGTAATAGCAGGTAAGCTAACTTATTTTTTTAGAGGAACAACCCGTGAATGGCAAGAAGATCACACTCCTTACAAAAGTAGTAAAATGATGAAAATAAGTGTGAATATACTTGTTTCAGAGATGGAAGAACATTTAGTGTTAAAAATGTAATGATTTTATGGAGTTTTCAGGGTAGGAAAACTGTGTGAGGTATGTTCACTTAAAGTAACTACAAAACTTAAGTGTAAGTGAAATAATGTAATGAATTTTTGTAAACAAGTAGACTTTTAAATACCATTATATAGGTGGAGATAAGGATTAGAATAAAAATTCCAGTGCTGCATTTCTTTCAGCAAAGGGATTGAAATATGCTTCAAGTAATTGAAATGTAAACATTTTAAATTAATGGCAGACTTTTATTACTTTTCAAGATAAAGTTTTTCTGTAACTTAAGTGGATTTTATTTCCAAGTTTGAGGCAATATAAACAGCTTGTAGTTTTAAAAGTACTGATATTCTTGGGTTGATTCAGTTCAGTGTGATTTTTTTTCCCTATTACCAGATCAGAAAATAGAGCTTTATTCTGGACACCTGAATCAAAGACCAACAGAAAGAGTTCACTAAAATCTGAAAAAGAGGAAAAAATTTCAGAGGAATGGTATGTAATCTATTTTGCACTAAAAATTAAGGAATTGGGAGACTTTTAAATGTCCAAAGAAGATATTTTTCAAGATTTCCAGAATACCCTTATTAGTTTTTAAGAAACTATATATTTATTAAATTTCACATTCTTAATGGAAATCCTAATTTGTTTTAATATACTATAATTCAGATATGTATGTTGATACATATAGACATATATACCTATGGTCTGGATATTTGTTTTGCTTTAATAAATTTAATCTTTTAATAGGGGGTTTAAGGATATTTCTACTGCTCAGCAAATGCTGAAGAGAGCACAGAAAATGAAATCAAAGAAATTAAGGAAAAAATTAGGTGGGTGATCAATGTTCTTTGAATAACTATGTGTCTGATATTGAAGTTGTTATTTTAAAATGTTTTACCAAATTATGTGTAATAAGAACAGAAATGAAATGTATAGATATGAGTATGTCTAGGTAATAATTTAAAAAAAAAGAAAATTTAGAGAAAATTATGTTTTTACTGTAAATGATTTGTTATGCTTTTAAATGCTATTGTTACATTTCCCCTGTTTCTTACCTACTTTGCTATTGATTATTCTATCTATTGTGCACTGAGAATGATGCTGTAATTTGTTTCTAAGCTGCTTCATTTTGGCAAATGTTGATTCTAAAGAGCATCTGCTTATTGGGCTTATTCCTTTGTGTGTTTTTAAATTGCTTGATTATTCAATAAGCTATATAAATTCATCAATTCTATGAATATTAGCTATGAACACTTCACAATTCGACACTTTGGAAAAGGAACACAGTTATATCTTTATGATTATGCAGAACTTGTGAAATGTTCAAAAGTATCCTTTCTTCTATCCCACTTACCAGGCTATTTTTTCAGATCATTTGTCTTTCTTTGGACACCTCTAATCATTTTAGTATAATTACCTACTATGTGGAGTAGTTTATAGGGCCCAGAGCAAGAAACAGCAGGATATTGTGACTTTATACTTACATTAAAACTATTTAAATTGATTTGGATGTTGCATACAAAATTGCATGTACTTGTCATTTTATAAATATTTATTAACAGACTTATAGGCTTAATAAAAGTAATATGACTTTTTTAAAACCATTGTGAGTTTTTCTTATATCAATGAAATTTTTCCATAAAAGTGCCATTATTCCTGAGAAAAGCAAAGAACCTATATTTATCTGTAGATCTAGTTTATGTAAGCACACAAAGCAGCATTCACAAAATTAACTTTTACCTTTATAACTTTTTCTATTTATTATTTTAACCATTAGTTCAATAGTAGAATTTTATGAAATATACATAACACATATTAAGATATATATAAAACATTACATTTATGTATATTTAATTCTGTAAAATAAAAATAACAAAATACTGTTGGTTTCTAAGAAATAACTGGTATTTCCTGGCACTGCCCTTACTAGCATTTGATATATTTAACTGATGATTTGCTTATATATTCACAAATGTTCAACCTTCCCTTTTTAGTGTTACAGTATTGATATCTTAGTTTTATCTTTTATCTTTTTGAGATAACTAATATTTTTAATTGTGTACTGAAAGTTTGTCAGGTTTAAACTACTGAAATTTTAAGCGTTTTTAAAGAAAGTGTAAATATATGCTCCGTTTGTCAACTTGCTTTTGTGCCTTCTGCACTCTTACGTCGGAAACTCTTACTAAGTTTATCAGGACTCAACTGAAAACTGCCTAGTGGTTACCCTGGGAAACTGTAAACTCGAAACCCTTAATAATAGAATCTCTTTCAGTCCTGGGGAAGTAGAATCCAGTACAGTAAGCCAAAGTAGTTTCATAAACTTTTTTATTGCTTTGATGTATATTTCTACTTGTCTTCAACAGAATCAACAAACATTCTATAAATAACCTTTTTGAGAATAATGTAAGATTCTGAAACTCCTGGGACAAGTTCAAAGATCAGAAGTGGTTTAAAAACTGATCCAGCCAACATTTAACAAATAATTATTGCTTATTTATATTCAAGATCTTTTAAAATAGATATTTACAGTGTTTACAATAGTCCCTGATAATGAAGGACAATTTATCTTGTTAGACTCTTTCTTTCTATTTGCTTGAGGGATTTTTATTTAGATTGAGTAAATTTTCAATAGATCAGCATAAATAATATGTTTTAGCAAAAGTTTCAATAAGATTTATATGCTCATAAATAAAAAAATCATTGTTTTAATTGCCGAAAATTAAATGTAATTATTATAATCAGGCAAAAATTAAACCTCATTTTATCTGACACAAGGGGGCATGGTAGGGTAACAAATGAAAAAGTACAACCATCTATCCAAGTTATCCAAGTTCACCACCACTCGTAAAATTTAAAATTTTGACAGCGGTCATTAAACATGACCTGTTAGGTAAACATCCAAAAGGACAATTGTATAATTTTTTTATAGGGATCGTTACTCTAATTACATATTTATAATCCAAATTATGTTCTTGTTACTAAGGTTTTGTATCTCTGTTAAGCTTTTGTTTTATAAAAACGCTATTAGATTGATGGAATAAAAGCAATTTTTTAAAATTTGAATTCCAAAGTGTAAAACTTAATGATGACTTTTAAATCCTCCCCACTATTTTTCTCTACTCCCCTTCACCACAGATACACTAAATAGAAATATTCAAGGTAAGATTAAGGATGAAAATCAGTGAGATTTTCTCCAGTTATGATACTTTAATCTTCTACTAGGTTGATGATATATCAATGTTACTTTGTATCCGAGAGAATCACTGAAGACTCTGTACCTTGGGTCTTTCTTCTTACAAAAATGAGTTTTCTAGAACTTTTCCAGTTTTATAATTTAATCAACCTGTGATATGCTATCAACTTATATGAATCTGCCTACAGTAATGGCCACAATTTTAAACATTACTAATAAATTAAAATGATGTTTTGAATATTTAAATTCTGTTAAAAAATTTAAAATTTACTAATTTTCAAATATGCATTAATATTCAATATCAGTATCTATCTGTATCTGGCTGTCTGGCTAGCTAGCTAATTTTAATAGGGCCAACTTCACAACTTGAAATTTTCAAGCCACCAGAGGGCAACGTTGTCCATAAAACTGCTGGAGACTAACCATTGTGGGTGTAGGATGGGGTGTCAAAAAATAGAAACAATTAAATGGAAGCAATAATATCCTACAGTCTAACAAAGCAGTAATCCTCAAGAAGTGGGGATAAATGCAAAGCATATGGAAGCTTTAATTCAAATTCCCGCCATGAAAAACCTTAGAGCAAGTGGCTTAATAGCAAGCACTTAATAAAATTTCATGTTTGTATCTGTACATATATTTACTAGCCAAAGGATATGAATCAATAATATTTCAGATGAGAGTGAAAATAGGGCAAAAGGCCGGGGGGGCGGTGTCAATTATTTAAAGAAAGTTACAGAGAGAGGAAGAATACCACTGAGGCTGAGGAAGCAAGAGCCTGAGGACACATTCAGTGTGGACAGCCAGTAGGGGAGGCTCAGTATTGACGACTTCTACTGGGCTAAATGAGGCCACCTCCTTGAAACCAAAGAGACAGGAGGGGTGGTGTGGGGGCGGTAAGAGCAATTGATTGGAAGGCACAGGTTGGAATCTGAAATTGTGAGGCGTTACCATGACTTACTCAGTTTGGGTTTGGGTTCTGATTTTGTTGTTACTAGTAACTTATTGCTGTTTCCCCCATGACGGACATAAGCATGAACTAGTATTGACTGGTCTTGTTTTTGTGGGTTTTTATTTGTTTGTTTGTCTTTTCACTTTTACTGTTGCCTTAAACACAGATGTAATTTCAGAATTTGATGATCTGCATTGGAATTTAGCAGGTACTCCAGGAAGGTTAGGTTTAGTACTGCAGTGAAGAACAGCATGTGCAAGATGACAGTTGCTGGTTTGTTGAAAACATGAAAGTCAATAACCTTCAGGCACTCAACATGATTGGTAGCAAGACTGACATGAGCCAGTTGAGAAAAGAAAGTGAATGGTTTCGGTGTGCAGCACTCCTCAGAGAGGATGAAGTCTGTGTATAGGGATTTTGGTGCAGAACAGATGGTCAGAAGTTTAAGGGCTAAGAATATAAGGATGAAGACATAATGTGGTTTCCCAACATTTATCACATGTGTGCATATCAAATTTCAAATTTTAATGTCAGAGAAAAGGAAAACCGCAATGAAGCAAACAGTTCATTCAGCTACAAAGGCTGAGCCACAGCCAGGGATGAGGACCAGATTGCAGCTGTTCTTAGCATTTACAGGAGTGTCAAGTATATGTCAAGCATTCAATACATATTTGTTCATTTCATTCCAATGAACAGAATAGTTTGAAACTGTGTTGGTAACATTTAGTTATAGCCGAGAATTAACCAGGTAGAAACTAAGAAAGCGTAGCTTTTTAATATGAATTAAGCAGTTCAAGGACTGTAGCAAAGAGGTCAGGTTGCAATCAGGTAGGTAACTAAGGAATGTTAAGGCGTAAGGATCAAAGGGAATAGTGTAGACAAATCTGTGGCAAAAATGAAGTTTATCAATGATTTGTTTACCTCAGTGATGTCTCAAAAGAATTTACCAGAATTCTGATCAAACGTTACTTTGTTGTGCTCTCGCAACAAAACAATAATAAAACCCGTTTGAATAGTAAAATCCTTGAGGGCCAAGAGTCTAACTTGCTCTGCACTGAATTTTCAGCATCTAATACCATGCCTGGCATATGGTGCATGTTCAATAACCAACTGAGTCAGCAATAAGTTATATTTGACAATGGGTATGTGTTGACTAGGTATGTGTATTATAGTCATTTACATATATGTTTATATTAGGGAAGACAAATTTAAATCAGTAAATAATACTCCTTACAAGATGATGAATGATAGCTAGTCATTCACCCTTACCATGAAACTTATTTCAGAGTACTTCTGTACTTGGCACATAGAGAAAATGGATAGTAACCAGATTTTTAAGTAGGAAATTATCAAGAATAAAATAAAGCAGTGAGTTAATATTAGATTTATGAAAACTGAAGAGAGATAACACAGGGGTTGATATAAGTTTAAGGATATTCTAATGCCTAAGTAAAACTGTTATTTAAATGAGATAATGGGTGTAAATTGTCAAGTACAGAACCATATGCACATTAGAAATTCAGCTTACTTTTGGGTTTCTTTACTTTGAAAACATGTTTAAAACCTGTTTTCAAATGTTCAAAAACAGCATTACATACCTGCCATTGATGAGCTCAGAGAAGTAGATTTAAATGTACAAAACTGACTTTATAATGCCAGATAAAGGTGTCACAAGCTATACTTTTTTA